GCCGGTGGCTCGGATGTGCCCGGCGCAGCGCAAGCTGCGGCGGGCCTCGCCGCCGAGGCCGCCGCGCGGCGGATTGCCGAGGCGGCCGCGGGGCCGCCGGGCGGGGTGGCGGCAGCGCTGGCGCGGCTGGCCAGAGAGCCTGGGGCGTTCCTGACAGGTGAGGCCATCGTGTGCGCGTGTGTGTGTGTGTGTGTGTGTGTGCGTGTGTGTGTGTGTGAATGTGTGTGCGTGTGGGTGTGAGTATGGGTGTGTGCGTGTGTGTGTGTGTGTGTGTCTGTGTAAGCGGCAGCTCCGCCTCCAACAGCGCCTGGTGGACGGCTCACAAACGGGGCTCAGGGTTCACCTGATTGATCAGGGGCCGAAGGCTTGCCCCATGGCCGACAGGCAAAACAGCCCCCCACCCTCCCTCATCCTGCGCCGCGCCCCCGACCGCGGCTCGACCTAACAACCCCCAGACGACGAGATGGTGGATCTTTGGACCTTCGCCGCCTCTCAGTTTGCCGCCAGCGCAGCATCCACCCCCACGACCAGCCGCGCCCCCAGCACGGCCGGCCCGCACCGACCCGCGCCGCCCGGCGCGCCCCAGGCGCCGCGCGGCGGCCGCAGCGCGGGGGGCGGGCCGCCTGAGGCGGGGTTCGGCGCGGGCGGCGCCAGCTGGCGGTCCCCCCGCGCCTCGGGCGGCCGGGCGATGTGTTCGGAGCCGGGCGCCAGCCGGGGCGCGAGCCCGGTGCATGGCGGGCCGGGCGACTCGCCGCCGCCGCCCTGGGAGGACGCAACAGAACAGCAGCAGCAGCAGCAGCAGCAGCAGCAGCAGCAGCAGCAGGAGAACGACGCGGACAGGCCCCCGGCACGCGCCCCGCCAAGCCCTCCGCTCAGCGGCGCGGCGGCTACGCCCCCAGGCCCGTCGTCCCCGGGCCAAGCGGGCTCGTGGTCACTTCTGTCCACCCCTGAGCCGCCGATGTTCGACGCCGCCCGGCTGGCGACCATTTTCAGCAGCCAGGGCGAGGGCAACGGCGGCGGCAGCCCGGGGACAGATCACATGCCGTCGCCGTTCCTGCATGTGGACACGGGAGAGTTGCTGTCAGAGGGCGCTGAGGAGGTCAGGGACGGAAAGCAGGGGGCGGGTCCGGCGTCGGCTGCGGGCGGCGGCGGCGGGCCTGCCAGCGACGACGAGGCGGGCAGCGGCCGCGACGGCGGCGGCAGGAGTCGGCCGGGCGGCAGCGTGGGAGGGGAGACGACTGAGTTGAGTGCAGAGGAGGCGCCGGGGGCGTCGACAGAGGAGGGCGGGGATGATGAAGAGGAGGGAGATGAGGATGAGGAGGGGGCGGGGCAGGAAGGCGAGGAGCCAGAGGCGGCGGGCGACGGGACCGGCGGGCGGGGGCGCCGCGCTGGGCGGCGGAGGCGCGAGCGGGAGCCGGGGGCGCGGCGCGGCGCGCTTGCTGGGATGGTGTTGCAGGCGGCCACCCTGTCAGGTGCGGTACGGCTGGGCTACTGTGATTGATGAAGGGGGGCCGGGAGTTGGAACTGCTCTGCGCGTGCACCCAAACCAACGCCACCGCCGGCACAGAGCAAGCGCCCCTTGCGACCCCCCCCCTGGCAGGCGCCCCCGTCCGCGCCATGCAGCGGCGCCTGTCGGACCACCTGCGGCGCGTCTTCGAGCGCCGCATGAGCGAGGGGCGCGGCGGCGCGCCCGGCGCAGGCCCGGGCGCGGAGGGGCTGCGGTCTGCCAGCCAGCACCTTCAGGCCCTCGGCCTTGGCGCGGCCGCCGCGGAGGCGCACGAGGGCAAGCCCGGTGGGCCGCCGCCGCCTTGGCCTCATGCTCGCGCGCGCCGCCACCGCCGCCCGCGGCCGCCGCTCACGCCGCTTCCCGGTCGTCGCCTGCAATTCCACCGCCTTGGTCGCGGCGTCACTCGCGCCCTTGCCTCGCCAGACCACCCTCTCTCACATCATCATGTGTCGTTCCGATCCCATCCCGCCCCGCTCGCTCCCCGCCGGCGACGGCGTCGGCAGGCTTCTGCGCGCCGCCGACGCTCATCCTCAGCCTGGCGCGCGCCCCGCCGCGCCGCGACAGCGCGACCGCGCGCGTGGCGTTCGAGGCGCGCTACTGGGTGGACAACCGCAGCGGACTGGACCTGGTGCTGATGGATATTGACAAGAGCGTGCTGGGGCTGCCGCGGGCCAGCCTGCTAGGTGGGGCGGGGCGGGGGTTGCGCTGGCTTTGGGTGATGCGAGGGGTCCGCTTGCCGTCGGCGGCGCGAACGAGAGTCGGGCCTGTGCATGTGTGGGGGCGCGCACGACCAGGCAGGCTGTTGTGGCGGTCTGCGAGTCAAGCTCGGCCGGGGGCAGGTGGGCTGTGCTGTCTGGGGCATGCTGGGCGCGATGCTGGGTGAGCCGTGGCTATTCGGCCCTGCCATGGTGCCACTGATGGATGGCGAGCTAGTCTCTGTGAAACTGCATAATTTCACGCTGGCCGGCCAATACGCAGTATCCTCGGACGTGCACTCGCCGGGCCTGCCGCGAGACCGCGCCGCGCTCGAGTCCGACGCTCGCGCCGCCGCCGACGACGCGGCGCACGGCGCGGCGGCCGCGCCGGCGGCGGCCGCAGCGAGCGGCGCGGCGGGCGATGGCGATGGCGCGGCTGGGCGGGGCGAGGGCGAAGATGCGTTACTGGCGCGGCTCCAAGAGGTGTGTTTCGGAGGTCCTGGGATGTGTTGTGCTCTCGCATGGGCTTGATGCATATCAGGGGTGGCTACGGCTTGCCGCAAGGGTTGACCAACACGGCGTGCCTCCCACACCCACAGCTCAAGAGGCTGACCCTGGCCACCTGCTCACTCCCGTCCACTGTCGCGTGTCCCCGCCGCGGCGCAGGTCCGCCCCGCCCTGCTGAACGACCAGTCGTCCCTGCGCCTGCAAGTGGAGGAGGTGACGCTCATAGGCGCCCCGCCGCGCGCCGCGGCCGCCCCCGCTCGGCGCGCGCGTGGCGCGAGGCCCGGGGCGCGCG